GTGTTGAACCGCCTTATTCTTATTTGCGGTTGAATGTACATTACGAATTAATACCTCGTTAAAACAGGCCCAATGTCACCATTTGGAGGAGAGTTATATTAATTCATTCCCCTTTGCAACTCCTTTCAAAATAAAAATCATTTCGTTTTCTTTTGAACTCAAATGAAGGTTTTGTTAGAGATTTAAATGATGTTTTTCTCTGTGGCAGAGGCAAAAGCAAGATGAAAATTTAGGTTATAAAAAACTTTATTGGCAAATTTCTTAATTTTCGAGGATTTTATTTCCATAGTTTTAATTAGTGACAGCAACAATATTCCACTTACAGAATATAAACGATTTCAAAGACTATGCTTGAGTATTATTTAAAAGCAACATGACCTTTTAATTTTGTAAATGTGAATATTTATCACGACGTAGGTAATTTACATTGTAACGGTTATTTGCATACCCATGGGTAAAATTGTTACTTTTCGGCCGGCCTCCTTGAATCTTTCCTGTACAAGGAAGGGTTGAACACGCATCTAAACCTCTACCAAATAAAAAAATAAGTCCCAAGACTCGTTTTGACAGTGGACAGATTTACTGGATTATCCGTATGGATGTACAGTTGCCCCTTGTACTATGTAGTGATATGAAGTAAGCCGTACGTTATCAGTAATAAAGAAATCTTGGGGACGTATCAAGAACCAGACCCGTAATACGACAGCTCTCCAAGAAGTTTGTGAGAGAGATGTTAAAGGGTGCCATAATTGAGGTTGTTTAATTACTCCTAGTTGTTTGTCTGCGTCAATACATCAAAGTTGAGTATTACAAGCGACATCTTGTGTGTCTCTCTACGTCTACATACCACGTCCGGTGCTTGTTGCATTCACGTTGAGAATGGCTTCCCTGTCCCGTCCCATTTTAAACATGTTGATCCTATAATTCTAGATATCCGTTTTCTTCCCGATCACAGTACTTGGCAACTAAATTGAAATCCGTAGAGAGAGTATCTCGAAAGTAAAGCTTGTGTAAATATTAATACGCCTTTAGTTTTGTTTTTGGTAGCCGACCTGTTACGGGAATACATAAAAAGTTTCAAGATAAAATAAAAAAGGATGAAACTTTAAAACAGTTCATTGGTAAAGTCCTGTAGGTTTGATGGATTTTGTAGTTTTGGCATTGTTTATAGGCTTTAATAGTTTCATAGGACCGTGCTTGAGGGAAAGCAACCTTACCATTTCAATTTTGTCATGTGAATATGTATCATGACATAGCTATAATATGCGTTGTGCCTCGGTTATTTGCATATAAGTGCGTCAGTTGTTAAGTTTGGGTTGACCTCCCAGTGAGCTGCAAGCCTCCGGCGTAAAAACGGCTTGAACCAGTGTCCAAGCCCTCATCAGAAAAATAATTTCCAGGAATAAGATTTATCGTATTATTGCACAGATACCCCTTTTGCTATGCAGTGAACTGATTATGAAACACAGCTGGCTATGTACGTTGCCTGTATAGTGTATTCGGTGTAATGAACAGCCTTCGGGGTAGTAGCGACGCTAATTCGAACCGGACTACAATTTTTTTTTCTCTGGGCTCGCCATAAAGATTATTTGAGTGTGTAATATGCATGGCCACAGTTAGGGTTGGGGACTCT